TGTTGGTGGCATCTCTGCAGGTAATTCTCTGCCCGAAGACATCAAGACAGCAGTCTCCATGGTCGGCCTGAAGGTCGATCCTGCTCGCACCCAGCTATTCCGGGTGCAAGCGACAACTATGAAGGAGGCGATTCCAATCGTCCTTTAAGAGAAGAACAGCCACACGCAGGTGGGTACTTCTCGGGAAGAGGAACATCGCCACGATGAGGATGGCGTTCTCCAGGAGGCGGGGCATCGCAGCAATGATGCTTTTTCTCCTGCTGTCACGCAGCCCGATGATACTGGTGTGTACAGTGAGCCCGAACTTATGAACTTAAGCTCGATTGAGAGCTTGGTCCGCTGCTACGGATGCGACGGAGATGGACACTGCCAGTGTGTATGTTCCTCGCCAGTCCTCGGGGAAAAGACATCCCGTGGACCCCAGATTCGGTGGCACAGACCACGGCAGGGTGGACGAAGAATCCCCGACCACCAGTAGAGGCGGTATGCCCTACTGAAGAGCGTTAAGCCTTCGTTATGGGTGTGCAGGTTATGTGCGCCACGGGATATAGCTCAGAGAGATGTGATTCTCTTAACCCGGTAAAAGTCAGTGATGGGATGCCGGTGGACACTCAGTGTACGGGGGTACGGTACCCCTTGAACGTTTGATAAGCTCTGGGGCGTTGATACGCCGCCGGAACGTCACCTGGTATAGCGACACCCGACTGCATTCTATGTCAGAGTGGCGGTCGTGGACTAGTCCTTGGTGGACCAGCCTTTGGAACGGTGAAGGAAGTACCAATGGTCCTCAGCAGACATGAACGTCTGGGCTCGATGAACTCGTGCACCGCAGTAAGGCTGAGCCAGCGCTTTTTCTTGGGTTCCCCATGACAAACCAGGGATTTTGACTGTTGCATCTGAGGACGGGAAAGTTAGCTGAAACGCGTGATGTCAAGTTTCGCGAGGATGTCGCAGTCGAGCGCACATACATTAATGCGCTGATAAAGGGCAGGTAACACTATTATCCTCACATCCCGTTCATTTCATTGTCAGTGGAGTGTGTAGCAGAGCAATCAGTACGATCTAAAGCCTCAGTGGCTGTACAGTCCGATGCCAATGACGTCGCTAGTGGTGAGTCAGGAGGGAAAGAACGAGATGCAACTGAGGAGGCTGCATCAAAAGAAGATGCTGCGTGTTCGGTGAGAGCTGTGACTTTGCCACAAGGAATAGCTCCGAGTGCGGTGGGGGTTGGGCCCACTGTTGAAGAGATGAATGAGAACGAGTTAGATTCGGTGGAAGGGACAAGCAAGTCAAAAAGCAAAGCTTCTGACTCCGATGTTGCTGTCGGGGTGACCCTGCCTACACTCGAGCAACTGACACCATGGACAGCTCGCAAGACCTACGCTCATGTGGTGTAGTGATTTCTCCAGAGTTGCAAACAATCGCCCGACGACAAAGATGCGACACCACCCAAATGTTCAAGCGACGAACCCTCGGTCACGTGATGTACGATGACTCCAAGGTGCAAGAGACTCGACGGCGTCACTACCAAACACTCAGCGAATATTGGATACGGTCCAAATTTCACTCAATCTAGACTGTCATTATTATTAATAGTGGACTGGCCGGACGCATTCAGCGGTCAAGAACTGACCATCTACGGTACGAACCCTCGGTGGCTGTTATGATGAGCTCGCGGAAGACTCCGCGACCCTTTGAAGGCACGTTCACCGTCTGGGATAGAGAACGAGCTGTTAAAGATGTTCATGCGATGGTGCAGACGACGCTTGGAGTGCAAGAAGATTCATAACGGATCATTGTTCAGTTAATATTTGTATACGTGATTAGGACTTCTTATTAGGAATAGGTCCGAAAGGGCAAACATAAATACAGAACAATTTCCACTCAAGCCCACAGAGCGACGTCCGGCCTCGAGGTAATCGTCTGGTCGAGCTTGTTTGAGTGTGTTATGCCTGTCGGTGAGCTCGAAGCGCTGTAGCAAGGGCTCACCCGGCAAGGCCAAGAGACTGTGTGTATTGGCCGATTTTTATCGGGAGGCTTTACGTGATGGCTTATTGTTGCCTATTTGCGCGACTGAGAGTGCTTGTATTGCATCCCTTTTATTCTTCCTTCCGAGTGTCGAACACACAGTGCCCTTGTAAAAGGCTTACCCGTGTCTGGTACCCTTCCGCTGTTGGGACCACGAGGATTCATAGCACCTGTTAGCTTTGCTTGTGTGTGTTCTTATTTATACAGTACCGGTTGGCATATATAAGTAGTTTACAAGGTTTAGTCTGTCCCAGTGCAAAGGCAGAGCTGGGGTCTTCAGATTCGCCCGAACGATCGTTTGCTATCCTAGCAGACGTATTGTTGTGGGAGCGTCCTAACTACAATTGTAACTAGAGTTCACGTAGAATTTCAACACCACACTCCTCTTGGTTCCTCAGGCACGTCGAAGTTCGACCCGTAGGCGTAAATGGCGACGATCAGAGCGTAAACGACAAGCAAAAATAAGACTGAAGGACTACGCCATGGCATCATTTGGAACTATGGCAATTCTGATGGGCAATTCCGCGACAGTGGAAGATGCCATGACATCTCCACATCGGAACAAATTGGTAAAAGCAATGAAGTTGGAGATAGAAGCGCACAAAGTGAACGCACATGAAGATTAGTCGATCCACCGAAAGGTCCCTGCAATGTTCTAAAGTCAACCTGGATACTTCGCGCGAAATTAAATGAGAAGGGTATGATGGATAGACTTAAGGCCCGTTTGGCAGTGAAAGGATGTGAGCAGAGGTATGCAGTCGACTGTTCAAAAACATTTTCTCCAGCTGTGTGAATTGAGACTGCACGCTTGCTGCTGATCCAAGCTTTTATGCTAGGACACGAGTGCTATCATGCGGACTTTGTGAAGGCCTTTCTCAATGGAGTGTTGGAAGGAGTTGATATCTACATGGAACAACCTGCCTATTTTGATGAAGACACCGGCAGAGTTTGTGAGCTGTTGAAAGGTCTATACGGCCTTAAGCAAGCTTCGCCTTTATGGTACCAGACTCTCCACGAGCATTTGGAGAAGATCGACTTCACGCAGTGCGCGTTTGATGTCGGTCTCTACCAAAGGTAGCAGAATGGGCGAGCTGTGCACGTCACGGTCTATGTGGACGATTTGATAATTGCTGGCAAGCAAGAAGGCATTGAAGACGTGATTGACGAGCTCAGTAAGAAACTCGCGTTGAAAAATCTTGGACGAGTGAAGCAAATCTTGGCTATGGAAGTTCCCTACGTTCCAGTCGAGATGCAAAGCATCTCGCAGACAGCGTACATTAATCAAGCTCTGGAGTGCTTTGGCATGAGTGATGCGCGTTTAGTTGCGTCGTTATTAATGCAGAATGAGCTAATGCCTTCAATTGAACAAGATGAGGAAAAGGCCAACCCGAATATTCCTTTTCGAGAATTGGTGGGAGCGTTACAGTATCTAGTGACATATACGCGGCCAGATCTAGCGAATATAGTGCGAACTTTGGCTTGCTACAGCAGTTCGTACACAAAGGAGAACTATGCATTTGCGAAGCGAGTGCTTTGTTATCTACGAGCCACACGAACCTACGGATTGGTGTTATCGTCGTCACGAACTAGTGCTACCACTACGTGTTGACGCTTATTGTGATGCAGCTCATGTCAACTGTCCTGACACAAGACGTTCAATTACAGACTACCTGTTGCAGCTCAATGGCTGTATGGTCATGTATAAGAGCAAGCAACAAGGTAAGGTGACCACAGACACATCCCAAGGAAGCTGCTGAAGGCGATTTGTGGTACAGCTCCACCCTGTTCTACCCTTCACATTGACAATCAAAGTACAATCACTGTGGTCAAAGAGCCTGGAAATTACCAGAGAATGAAGAGATTTGCTAAGACGAGTCGCAAAATCGCTGAGTTTGTGACAAAGAAGAAGATCCAGGTGCAGTACGTCCTCATCGAGGGTAACGTTGCTGATATCTTCATGAAGGCGTTTGGATCTGTGCGTTTTCATCGTCTCCGTCAAGAGCTGAACGTTCATGACATCTCAGCGGCACTCCAGGTCCAGGTGGGAGTAACAGAAGCTGCATGCTACAGCTTGAACCTTGCGACTGTATTGTTTTGCACAATAGTACAACGATGACACTCAGTTGGAGCCTGATGCAATGGGAGACAAGACGATCCTCGTGCTGGTAGCTGAGACACGAGAGATCAAAGTTGTTTTGGCGGTTGATGCTGCTGGTTGCATGTTTAACGGTCCTTTCTCCTCGTGTACGACACGCTACATGTGAGAGATCACGCTGTAAGGAAATTAATATTGATTCTTGATTTAGCGGTATTGATCTTGAAGCTCGTTTCCTCGCTTCAGTTGCTAGTCTGGCTGTTTGTCAAAGAGGCCGCCAACGCTGCGCTTAGTTAGCACTCGACGTGAGCAACTTCTACAAAACATGTCAAAATTCAATACTTATAACACAGTACAGCACTGAACAGGCTCACTATCACATTTGCCTGCAACTGAAAAAGTGGGTTGAGCTCAAAATTAATTTCAAGACTTTGAATCAGCTAGTTTAACAAAAAACCATTTTTAAATTACAATTTGAGCTTTTATTTTCGACGTTAAATGCGTTGTCGACAGCACATGTATTGGGGATTCTACTTAGCGGCGACTGCCCTGTATCCCAAATAAAACCGAAATTGAATTAGTATTCTAATAACAGTAATTATATTATACTTGTTTATCACGGTAAAACGCTTCGCTCGGGTTTCGCTTAAACGGATTTACAGTACTGCACCCCGTTTTCGCGCCCTTGGGCCTTTGATAAACTTCTGGATATGATGATCCTAAATCCAAATAAACTACACTTTGTAAGCCAAAATATGATTTATTTGCTCGCGAAAACGGGGTGCAGTACTGTACTTGATTTACATGCTAGCCACGTTAATAAACATGTATAACTTGCCTGGAAAATTGGATACCGAGCAATTTAATTAAAGGTTTTTTAATACCTATATATAGTAAGCCGTAGTCGTTAGTGCACCCTTAACTTTTTTCATAAAAAGTACCGATAAGGGTGCTCGGCGCCCTAGCAATATTTTCACAAAATTTAGGTTTCGTGAGAAATTCCACGAGAAATATATTCTCAAATAAATTACCATCAAGTACCGTTACTCTCAGATAATTCCGAGTCTGATAGCCAGTGGTTTTGTTGTGATCATTTAAAAATCCACGTACGAGCTCTTAAGTACTGGTACAGGCGCCAGTGCAAAAGATGGCGAGAGCGAGGGCGCGCCCGGCGTCACTGTGCTGGACGTTTGTTCTTCCTCTGGTAGCGATGGCAGTGACGAAGACACTTCGACTATCAAGTGAGGCGCTAGAAGCCATACTCCACGAGATAGGTAAAGTTACACTACTACGAAGAACGTTATTATGTATAGCTCTAAATTTTTATAAGTATATGAGTTCCCTTCTCACGTGTCTTTGAATAGACGCGCCACTTTCACGACGAAATCTGTCGCAAATGCAGAATCAACACGACGGTCATCGTATTTTTTTGACGTTGTCTCTGGCGTTCTACGCAACGGATCGCTGAACGACGCCGTGATTGATTTCGGAATCAGAATGATTGCAAAAAGTGTGGACGGCTGCATCGCATTTTCTTCGTTGACATTGGCTATTGGGTGGCCTGAACCACCAAGACAGCGGTTATCAGAGACACCTTTTGTGGTTATGCCCATAAATTTAAGCTCGAACCACGGGGGGGGTCATTATTGTGGAGATCGCGTTTCTGTTAACGTACGCTCCTCTAGTTCAACATAGTGCACTCAGTCTAATTCATCAATTCACTTTCCAATTCCCCACCACGACAACAGTTTCCGACAATACATGTACCGAAGGTGTATTTCTATGAGCCGCTGCACCAGGAGTGCTACTGAAAAGAACTGGAAGATGATGGACATTTCATTTGCTGCCATAACTGGAGAAATGGCACAGTGCCTGCGGTGCAAAAGAGCTTTTTCTAAGGAAATTATCGCGAAGTGGATCGACAAGCCCTCACAACCTGATTAAAGAGCTGTGGAGTAATGGTCCTGGGTATTGTGTACGCACACTTGCGCAACACCCATCGGAACACCATCGGGTGACAGAAACTTATGTAAGCGTGATGCAGCTTAAGACTAGCCTGGTTGTTGCTGTGCACGACGAAGCTGGTGCCACACAGTGAGAAAAATCTGACGGAAAAGCAGAAGACAGACCAAGAGGTTAGTAAGATGCTGCTTCCACAATAATCTTGTAGCCATTCGTGGTTTTGTTAAACAATAAATATATATATATATATCACTTTCCCTTTCCTACTTGTGCTTTTCGTCTCCTTCTTCTTATGTGCTATTGCGTTTCTTCATCTCCGACAAGATTGACAATAACGCTTATGGTAATACTTCGCATCAATTTTTTTAAAAATACGGCTATTTATTCCTAGCGATAAGGGCGCCCAAGGCTTTAGGGCGCCCTAACGCTTGCAGTTAAGGGCGCCCAAGTGGCTTAAAGGTGCTCCAAGCCTGTCGTGTTGTTGTAGTTAAGGGTGCACTAACGTTATTCGTAGTAAGCACAGTACAGTAGTATAATCCTACGTAGTACGTTCTTTCAGCTGTCGACGTAACCTGGTAGTGTACTGCGAGCTCGGAACATGCATTTTCCACTGCGATAAGCTTCAATGTGCTGAGCGATAGCGCAGGGGCTACACAAGACCACAAGAGCAGCGTCTTGGAGGACGTTTCCTGGGATGGAAAATAGGTGGCGCATTTTGAGACGCAGGCAGGCGATACTGACAGTCGTTATGATCTCCGCCGCCACACACAAGAGCAGCAAGACGGGGTTGCCTGCTGCTGCGGCTACCAGTCCCAAGAGATACAATGCCACATGCATTCCGAGGATAAAGGCGTAATTGGCAAGCCCGAGGCGAACAGTGATCTGAGCCACCGTGATCACGGGACAAATGAATGCCATGAAACCTGTCGGCGTCAAAGACGAATGTAAGAAGAGCAGAGACTACGAAGACATAAGTACAGTGTCGGTACCGTTGGGGATTATGTCGTCACAGCAATTGTAGAATCCATTGCTCCAGTCGCTCACAGTGATGCCGTTGTGATCAACACCGTCGCCACACTCAAGTCTGTTGGAGTAGATAAACGTGGTCGATGACTTGGATGGTTGCTGACTCTTCATAATGCGGAGGTGACAGTGAATTGGACACTGCTGGTTTCTGGCGAATGCTGTGAGCAAGTCGATCGAGAGGTGGTCATGTTGATCAAGGCTCTCATGTAGAGTACGCGTACTAGAAAGCCGTAACCTGAGACTACATGAAGTACAGTGAGTCAGTATTATTTACTGTGTTTCTGACTCGAGTACGATGCGTTATAGCTTCGGTGTAAATGTAGAAGCACCGATTCGAAAACCACCACACTTTATCATCGTAGGCCAGACCACTTACTGTCTCTGGCTTCATTCAACTGTTAATGATTCACACTTCTGGCTATTTTGCTTGTTCACACGATATATGTAGGGGCGTATCGATAGTATCGATTCGATACTCGCGCGATTGCTTGAAATCTGTCTTCTTCGAACTGCGCGAGCAAGAAACAATCATACGAACTTAACCCCTTGAGACCCGAGCTGTTTCGGCGCAAACTTAACCGAATCCTTAGTCTCTCAAACGTGTATGTGGGGGGAAGGGCTTCCATATAAATTCCTTCATGTTTTGCTAACATGTATAGTGCATAGCCGCACTAAAAACCTAAACCTGGAAGACTGTCTCTCCTGTTATCTTGTACCTTTATCTTGTCGAAGGCCCGAAAACGAGCTATATACACTTTAGTCATATTAGCGTGTATAGTAGACTAAAAAACCGGTACCTGCATTTGTGACAGGAACTGGTAAGGCGGACATAGGTTGAACAAGCTTGGTACATAACTAAACCAATGTAACATATGCAGTCAAGTTCAATATCGTAATATTGAGGGCATACAAAACCTAAGTAAAAAAATACGATCGACGCCTTTGATCAGTCAGTCATCTCAGCATCCGGAGCGCGGCGAGCCCGCTTTGGCTGATGCAAGCCGCTCGTCGTGGTTTCATCTCCGGACGACTGGACACTCTTAGCCTCATCATTTTCCTCGCTCGAGCATTCGCGACGTCCCGGTGTACGTGCGCGGATCGTGCGCTTCACTGCCTTCTTGGGGAGCAGCGTTCCGTTTCTCCAGGCCTTGTGCCAGATGTCGAAGCAAGACATTGCAGCTCCGTTGTACGTGTGACGAACCTTCTCACAGAGGAAAACCCGCCAAGCCATGGGTCACTTCGACGTGTTGGGCAGCTTACACTCGCTACAGTATACCGACGAATCTCCACCTTTCGCGTTGTCGGTGCCCTTCAAGAGCGAGCAGACCTTGCACGCTCTCGTACGGCGCTTCCGCCCTTGCTGGTTGTTGCCACTGCGCCACTCGTCATTTTGCACAGGTTGGTGTGCGGCTTGGCGAGAATTTGTGCGCTGCATCGGTTTGGTTGGTGTCACTTGTAAGCACGCGTTGTCGTGCAAAGTCACCAAGTCCTCCTCGCGTAGCTGACACAACTCTAGATGTAGTTGCTTCAAAAACTTTACGTGAGTCAGCTTCGGGTTGTTTGCCTTAGTCTGTCTGGTGTTGTAGACAATGAAGGCATTGATAATGGCAAGATCAACGAGTCCGAGAAATAGAGACTTATAGTATTTCTTGTACTTGATACATAGCTGCAGCGAGTATCTACAACATGTATCATACACGATTAGATATATCCATAACTTGGATGTACAATATTGATGCACTTTACCTTTGCAGACGCAGCTGGTCGTGCACGTCGACACCTCCCATGTACGTCTGGTAATCCTTCACAATATGGGGGCAGGCCACTTCTTGTTGTTCACCCGTCAGCTTCTCACGGCGTACTATTCGGTCAATCGCAACACTTCCACATGTGCTTAGCATGTGCACCGATCGTGTATCCCACCAACGCACAACTTTCATGTCAGGAACTTGGAGTGCTTTGGCCACTGAGTACGTGCCTCTCTCAATATTTGATGGTCGGTTCTTCGGTTTCTGAGGCGGCTTCTTTTTGTCACCCTTCTGCTTTTTTGGTATCAACTTAGTGCTGAGCCCCAAGCGGTCGGTACGCACAGTGCCGATAGAGTAGAAACCCATGGTAAGCAGCTGAACCGAGAGCGGCACTGCCGTGTAGAACCGGTCTGTCACAACGAGGCGCATGGAACCGTCTGCAGGAGCCGTGGGGCCAAATACCGCGCGGAGGTTGCGCACGACGGCTGCAGGGCCGGACTTGTAGTCAGTAGACCTTGTTCCTCCAGCCCTCTCCTTTTTGCCACAATAAACTTCAAACCTGTATCGTACATCATAGTAAAAATATTAGTTCGTACCGTACATGATAAGCCAACTTAGCAACCAAAAAAAAGTGACGTGCCAAAGAGCACGTCCTACATACCGGATGCAATATGCAGTCGCTGAACAACACAGCATGAATAGTTTCGTTCCCCATTTGTGTGGCTTATCCTTCATGTACACTCTCATCCGGTTGAACGTTGATCTCGAAGGCAACATAGCCTCATCGAAGGCCATGATTGATGGAGGCGTGCATCCTGCTGCGAAGCGGTTCTGCAGAGCGTCAATAACCGGTCGTAGTTTCCACGCCCTATCTGTTGCAGCGCGTTCGTCCCCGTTTCGGCTAAAATGAAGGTTCCTCGAGAGATGCATGAAGCGATTTCGAGTCATGAAAAAACCAAAACACCCTCGTGGAATTGCCCCCTCGTCCGTAGTTCTCCAGTGATGCGCCAATTTCTCCTTGTTGGGAACAATTGATCTTGCAATCAATAAACCCAAAAATACACAAAGCTCTCGGGGCGTAATGTCCGCGAAACTCTCCAACTCGTTCCGTAGCTTTTCTTTGCTCTTTGATTTGTAGCCAGTATTCTTCCGCTCACGAACAACTTGTTTGGCATGTAGACCATCCACTCTTTCGTCAATATTCTCTCTGAAGTACGTGTTTGTCTCCTCAGCGATAGATTCCCAGAGATCTGGTTGCATGAAATAGAAGAAGGCACCGGATGGATTAGCTGCAGCTCGAATTGCCTTGTCGGTGGGCCCTGAAGCTCCTCTGTACAGGTTGGGATAGTCATCATACATAGCGGTAGCAGGGCGAGGCTCATACGGTTGCTGCAAGTATTCGTATGGTGTTGTGGTCGCTACGTCGGACCATCCTGTGTCCGCCATCATCTTCAGAAATGTGTCTGACAAGGAGCCCGATGCGATATTCGCCATACCACCGACAGCAGATACCAAATCACCGTCAAAACGTAGCTGGGGAGGACCGGGTAATTGAATATCAGCCCCGGAAATATCCTCAAGATGATCCTCACTCTCATCATCTCCATCGTCGTTTTCAGCATCAGAATCGAAGGTTACAAACACCCGGGGGTCGTCGGAAGCTTCGACGAGATTAGCGTCTGCAAGAACACCTAGCATTGAATGTACAAGTTATATAAATTTTCAAACGTGTATGTACAGCTTTGACCAACCTCCAGTAGAGACATCACAAATTCCTGAGCCTCCGTTTGACTCTTCATCCGCGCTTACTGCAGGTGTGAAATCATCACCTTCTGAGTCCTGGGCATCTTCTGCTGCGTCATGCGATGGCTCACTACCGCTGTCTATATCGTCAAACTCCGATGCAAGGTTACGTTGCCTTTCAGGTGACGGATCTACAACAGTATATTCACGGTCAGGCCAGCAGAACCAAAGGCAAGCAGCAATATGACGTGCACGAACCAGCTGTGGCATCAAATATGGTCATGTGTGGCGATGCCAGAACTACTGCAGACGCTTCTTGTGGAGCCTGCACCTCTGGTGGCGGTGTTCGCAGTGCTGTTGTTGTACATGATAATACCAACATACACGATTAGTTAATCTCAAAACTTGTCGAATACATGATAGTTACCGTCGTTTGTGGTCGTCATGGCTTCTGCTGCGCGCTTCTCTGCAACTCTCTGTGCATTCGCAGACCCTTCTCGCCTCGCTGTCTTCTTTGCCTCTAGTGCAGCTAATTCACATCAGCGTTAGAATAAATCAAAAATGTACACCACTTGCATTTGCCTACCAATGTCCATTTTGTCCAGGTACGTCATTAACTCCTCCTCTCCGACGAAATAGTCCTCGCCCCGGATATCCTTCTTCGTCTTGCTCGGCTTCAGATAAGTGAAGCCCACCGACAGGCCTACCGGTTTCTTCGAGTGCCAGCCAGCTTTCTTGAGCTCCCGCCGCCTCGCCCGGAACGCCATTACCGGCGACGGCGTGAGTTCTGCGTGCTTCGCGGCGAATCTTCAAATGAGAGAAAATTGAGTGGCGACCAGTCTTTTCCTTTCGTAATACATATGCAATTTGCAAGTTTGGGCTCTCCCCGGATATGGCCCCACATTCAAATTAAAAACAAAAAGAAATTTAGGTTAACCTACAGTTGTATTATAACCTTAACACCGTCGTCTAGTAGTAGTACTTGACGATGCCCTTGATCAGAGCGTGCAAGACTTCTGTTGCATTCGCCTTCGGCGAAGCAAACCAGTTGCGCCACATGTACTCGTCCAAGTACATGGGCAGCAGCTCCTTCTTCATACCGCGCATTGCCTGTCTCAAATACTCTGGTAAGTATAATTGTATACGTATATACGTATTGGTATAAAATGTATACGAACCTTCACATGCTGCTTAATGCGGATTTCCCAGGCGCCCTCGACACGGTTAGTGTGGGCGCCTATGATAGGGTCCACGTACGTCTTGCTGTGGTTGACCCACATGTGTTTGTAGTTCATACCTCGTGGGTGTCGGTTGTTGGCCAGTGTGTGCTTGCCATTCACCGACACGTACGAGGTGAACTGGTCGCTCATGATGGTAGTGCTACAATCTTTTAGATACGTTAGTATAGTGAAAAATAAGTAAATGGTATAAAAGGAGTTGGTGCGGATGCTCCGCTCCGTCCTGCACGCGGCGCGCGAGCACCGCCACCGCTCGTGCCCCACGTCTAGCCGCATGGACGTGGTGCACTTCGGGCACAGCAGTGACGGCGCTAGCAAATGGACCGACATGGCCCAGGCCACGGTCGACGAAGCGCTTGATGTAATGTCAATCACTCCGTCGAACGTGGTGTTCTTCAGCCCACGGGCAGCCTCGACGTCTACCGGACGGGGTAGACGTGGGCAGGCACCAATGGCGGCTGAGGTGGCGGTGCGCTGGGTTGGCATGGTGGAGCTGGGGTCTGGGCTGCCGCGGTCTAGGAAGTTTGAAAGTGATAGAGTTTTGGCGCGCCAAAACTCTCTCTGTTATTTTCCCGCCTAACTCCTTGTATGTGGGGGGGGAAATCTTTTAATATTAGGTTTTGTATTCTACTTCAACGTGGCGAAGTGAATTTATTCTCTGAATGTGGGGCTCAGACCTTGTGCTACCTCAGAAGATCTAGCTGCTTTTATTTGCAATAGCTTAGAACTAGAATCTAGGTTAATCTGAATGTGGGGCCATATCCCGGGAGAGCCCAAGTTTGATCTGTTGTGTACTTTCTTTTGAAAATTTGGCTTTTCTAAAGCGCATATTTATGTCGATTCTGCAGGAAGTGTGGATAATTACCTACCCCTTGTTGACATGAAGTTTGTATTTGCGCATACAAAAACTAAGTACAATATTATCTAACTTGTACGGTCCACGTTAAGATTTTACACGTAACATGTACGGTCCAGGCCACGGGTCCTAAGGGGTTAAGAAGCCGAAAGCGAAGCTGATGTGAAACCTCCACGTTTTTCTATTCTGTACACTGCGATACTACCGTCGCTGTGGTACATACAGAGTTTGCGCACAAGTACTCTTTGCGGACCTCTCAGAGTTTATCCGAAGGTGTAACCTGGCAATGTTGCTCGCGGTAGAATGGCAAACGTATTGGGCTCGAACGACTCCGAATGATCAGCCATTTGTGCGACGGCGCAGCAGCAACAGAAGACGGACGAGAAGATGTCCTCCACCAACGATCCAGGGATGGAAAACAGGTACCGCATACGGAATCGAATGCGAATCGTGAAGAGCATTACCAGCGCGCCAAGATCACGGCGAGTGTACTCAGCACGTCGACTTTGGTCACTGCAGCACCGAAGACGAGGCCGTCGACTGACAAATAGGAGAAGAGAACCGCGAAGAAGTTGGCGATACCCAGACGCGCGCAGATCTGCGCCATCGAGATACCGGGACAAAATAGCGGCGTGATGGCTAGAGTATACGCCTGGTTAGAGTCATAAGAGCGAGCAAGATCTTTGATGACATACCATTAGGGACACAGTTCATGTAGCAGCTGCCGAAGAGTCCGTTCTTCCACTTGCCCACCACGAGGCCGTTGTGGTCCACGCCTTCGATTGCAGGCGTCGGGGCCATCGGCACGTTCGGGTCGTCAGCCTTACTAAACATTGTCGCACAGGAAATAGCCTACCAAGCTCGTGTACTTTAGCCGAATGCACGGCTTACCAGCATGCAGCCCCATAGGAGACTCTCGAGTTGCGACTGTTCGAGCAGATCTGGTGTCTCCGCGTCTGGTCAGACCCGCGAGTCGCGGGCCGCGACCGTCCGAGCAGTTTTGAAGCGGCGCGGTCAAAGGACGGCCACCATATTTTGCTACCGACGTCCCAGTTTTGGAGTTGCGACTTCCTTGCGAGACGTGAGCGCCATATACCCAAAGAGAGGAATGAAAAGGCTCCGAACACGACGCCCGCTCCCTCAGGCGTGTTTGAACTCGGACGGCGTGCTCGTCTGTTTTCTAGCTGCTGTAACTTGAACCCGCACCGTTCGCTGGTCGTCCAGCCAAAAATCGCCAATCCCCGTCGATCGGGAAAAGATAGACGGAGCGTTGCAAGTGAACTGCAACAACAACAAAGTTCAAGGCGGGGCTGTTAACCGTAGGCCTGTCAGCGTTGAACCTCCGAGGCCCGTCCAAGTCACTCCAACTCGAGCAGTTTGAGTTGAAGCTGAGTTTCTGCCAGCTCATGATCGACTTGTCCATATTTTTCCTTTACTTTATTCCATATAGTTGTCGGTGCAAGGTCTAAGACCGTTCGGTGGATTTGATCCAGTTTTTTTGGGCAATTATCCTTACATTCTTCTAAAGAAATCCGTCAGTTACACATTTAATATGGACCGCGTCGACGAGGTCCATGCGCTTATGGACCTCTTCACCTTCGGCTGGTCGGCGGCCGACGGCCACGGAGCCAGCGAGTGTGAGCGTCAGCTCACTTGGCAAAGTGAGCTCGGCCATTGCCCTGGAACTTGGACCCCGACGTGTTAGACACCATGGCGTCATCCGACAAACCATCGTCGCCTACCGATGTGAATCGCCGTCTTTTTTTCATCAGCAAGAGCTCAAGCAACAAAAAGAAAAAAGTAACAACATTGTAGCGACGTCTCATGCTCCGCTATCAGTAAAAAAAAAATCTGTTTGAAGAGGGTTTTATCGTGAGTTCGGTTGAGTTGGAGGCCAACTCAACTGATCCCTCAGCGTTTCGTTGAGTTGTGAGTTGGAGGCCAACGTTGACGACAGCACATCAAAAACACAATGTACCTGTGAATTTCACAATATCATGTGAGGCACACAACTAAACCATGATTTGCGCATCAGTGCCGTGATGCGTGTACATCCAATCATTAGCAGCACACAGGAACAAAGTATAGTCACTCACAGAGCTTAGAAATGCACAATAGCCAATCGCAAGCTAGCGGGACGCAGATTTGTCCAATCAAAAAATTCTATTTCGGCTTGTTCACTCTATCAAATAGCTTAAAAGTCGATCCACTCGTCAACAAGACCATTCTTCAAAGTTCCTCCCCGCCAGTACGAGTCTACTATTTCACTACCCTCTCCCCAAGATGCCTGAAGCAATTGTCTGGCGCCCCATGTGCACCGAGCTTAAAGAGAGCGACGCACTCATTATTATCCAGTGTCTGAAGGCCTTCAAGATCGCCAAAAGTCAAGCAATCTTTTGCCGTTCCAACACCGCACTTGATGCGCTACAAGATTCTTAAGTGCCGCTGCACTCAGTGCAAACAAGCCGCCCCCTATGCCACGTGTCCGTGGAGGGCAAAAATGCTAGTCTGTCTCGACCGCAAGGTCGTGTCACTATTTGAGAGTGGCGAGCATGTGACTAGAGCGATACCGCCACACAGTCGCACCCTCACTACAGCTCAAAAGGATTTTTCAAAGCAAATGACTCGGGCTGGTATGATGCCGGCTCGTATACGCACGGCGATGCTATTGCAGTTCGGTTTACGACCAAGCGAGGTTCCAGCTCTACAAAAGGTGCAGAATGTCGTGTGCTACTATCGCCGCACCAAGCTCGGGGGTAGTGACAAAGCTGCAACTATCGTGGCGGCTATGCAGAAGATAGCGTTCAATGGTTCGGAAGAAGAACACGAACCATTTACGTTTAGCTGAGACTTAAATAGTGAAGGCAAGCTCGTTGTCGGCAATGGGTCCGATGAAAAGCCATTCCTTGTGGGCTTTTCAACGAAGGCGCTGCTTCGCCAAGCTTCCCAAGACCCCGCGACCTTTATTTTCCACGTGGACGCTACCTACAAGACCAACCAGGTTGGATATCCAGTCTTGGTTATCAGTATTACCGACGCCGCAAGAACTTTCCACCTGTTGGCATTGTTTGTCACATCCCAGTAGCAAGAAGGGCACTAATGCAAAGGCCTTTGCTGCCCTGCGCTGGATCTACCGCAAAGTATTGGGGGAGCCGCTGCACATTTCCTACTTAATGGGAGACGCTGACGCGGCCCAGTACAACGCCGCGGCTGCAGTTTTTGGAAGTGATAGCAAGTATGTCCATCTCATGTGCTTTTACCACGTACTTGCCAAGGTGATCGATCGGCTTAAGGGTCTGTCGTACGGGGTACGCGACTCGGTCCTTCGCGACATCTATAATCTGCACTACAGCAGAAGCGCTGACGACTTTGCCACTGTGTCCAAAGCTACAGAAGCTCGCTGGCTCAAACTTCCAATGCTGGAGGCATTCCACCAGTATTTCCAACGAGTCTGGTTAAATGATCGATTTCGCCACTGGCAATGCTACAGTAAGCCTACCGCCTTTGCCACCACCAACAACCCGGTTGAGCAATTCAACCGGGCCTTGAAACGCGATTACACCGCACATCGTCTCCTGAAAATGGGCGAGCTGTTACAGCAACTCGCTGCGTGCTGCCGCCAGCGCGCAATTGATCGCCGTCCGTTCGCGCTCACGCCAGTCGCATCAAAAGAGCTGCTTGCTCGTGTGAAGGCCCTTCGGAGCCAGCAGCTTCTACGAGAGTACGTAGCACCATGGATGAGCCTCGACTTCCTCATGGTGGATTCTAGCACAGATATTCTTCACGTCTTGTACACAACACCAGAGAGAGCCTACAACCCTGCCACGAACTCCTTGCAAAAAGCGCTTCAAATCTCTGCTCAGGTTGGTGTCAACACTTCACGGAAGGAAGCTGAAGACCAGCCCAAGACAGGGTGGCCAGTCAATTTGTTAGCCCAGACATGCCCTTGCTCCTACCACTTCAAGTATGGTAACTGCGTGCATCGCCTCTTCGCGATGCAGGAGCGTGACCGCGTTAACTGCAACGGCGAGGAGGTGCTCGTCAACCGTCGTGCGCACAAGCGCAAGCGAGCTACAGTGGCACCGCTCCTACTACAGCAGGCCGTCCTCCCCGTGCCGGTCACGCCCTCCAGCGGAAGTAACGCGAGCGGTTACGCTGCAGCAACCGAGCCGATCGTCAGCCGCTGATGTGGCCGAACGTCGGCAGAACTACTGCATCACCGTAGTCCCGGAGCCTGATTGATGCCAGATGAACAATGCATATGTCTATATACAGATAAAGATAAAGCATTAGTGGTACTCAGTAGCAAAGTTAGCGATGACACGTACACTTCATGCGCGACAGAGACGTCTGGCGGTCGCTCTGCCCAGCGACTGGCGTCTCTCCAATTGGCAGCGTTGATGATGGTAAGCGTCGGCTAACCAGCCGCGTCACGCGTCACGCGTCACACTACGCATAACTACTATGCTTAAACAGCCCTTATTCGCACACCAAACCAGCAGCCGGCCGGCTGCCCTTTCAGGTACGATATCTCATCACCTTGACCGTTTGGCTTGAACAGGCTTGCAGAGCACCGAGCTGTGATCGCTGCCCAGCTGTTGCAGGCGGTCTAATGCACCAGGACTCCATGGGGCCTTAGAGCATCTCTAGCGGCAGGTCTTAAAGGCGGGTTTATCCTAAAAGTAGCACGGTTAGACCTCGGACGAGTTTTAAAGCATCCAGCGGTGAGTCTTAACACAGGTCTTAGCTTCACGAGGTCCTATCGGATGAGACTCCGGGCTTAAAATAAGACTCGAGTTTTATCGCTGCAGACGCGAACCGTCGCTGGGATGATCACAGAGCTATGGGGAAGGGTTCCGTGTGGAGCGAGCACGAGACTGTGCAGCTCTGTCTTGCATGGCTTGCGACTTCAGAAGACCCAATCCGTGGTGCAGGTCAGAAGAAGGCATCATTCTTTGAGCGTGTTTACCAGCAGTGGTGCAAGAACGTCGGTCCTGACGCCGATCTTCGCTCGACAACAGCCATAGCAGGCCGGTGGAAGAAGCTTCTTCCTGAAGTGACAAAGTTCGAGGGAATTTTTACTAAGCTAAAGAGCCAACCACGGTCGGGTTGGAGTGAGCCGACGTACGTCGAGAACACGGCGAAGATACACGTAGAGCGCACGAAACATCCGTTTGAGTATCTGGCGGCGTGGAAGGAGCTGCGTGATAAGCCGAAGTGGACCGGGAAATTGACTACTTCTTTTCATGCTGGCAACAAACGCAAGTCGGGTGACGGTGATTTGGTTGCGCGTCCAGAGGGACAGAAAGCGGCCAAGAAGAAGAAGGCTCGGGATGACACCAACTTACCCGTCGTATTCAGGTCCAAAAATACGCATCACAGCGCTGCAAAACGTTTCCATTGTCTCGAGTACCGTAGATTCGCCAATGCGTATCAGCTCATCAAGTTGATCCGCACATGCACCGTAAGCGAGCATACGTAGGGCACAAGTTACCTTTTGCTCTGGTAGAAAGCCTAGAAGACCAGTAGCATCGGGTCTCTGTGTAAAATAGTTGCTTTCCGTGTCCTCCACAAAAGAGCGGAAACAACTCGCTCAAAAACCTCACGACGCATTCGAAACCTCCGTCGAAAGTCTCCTACGTCAGTACAGCACATCAGCACATTCTCATGTGTACGCAATAGCATTAAAAATATGATCTCGTACGGGCATCATAGGTTGGATTGTCCCCGAAGTAGTCTGACATAAGCTCTTCCCCCCACTTTGATCGTTTTCGCTCCTTGTCCGCACGCTTTCCCGGCTCTGAACCCCCGTGCTTGCGCTTGGTCTGTGTTTG